TGATGTGGATGGTTTTGGGAGGCGATGATGCATCGGAGGGGGTGGGAGAAGTTGCGGGTGTGGTGATACCGGTGGATGAGGGCAGGGGACCATCTGTGGTGAGGGTTGTTGCCATCGAGGTGCTGGGCAAAGAAGAGTCTGTTGAAGGATTTGACGCCGTAGAAGTAGATGCCGCCGGAAGAGGAATACACTGCCTCCGGAGGCGGCCGACCAAGCCAATGCGTGCACGGAAGGTGCGTTGACAGCGCAGACAGGTTGGAAGGGCTTGGGCGGTGACAGTGTACGTTTGTTGATTGTGAGACTTTCAAGCCGTCCGTTTTGCCTTGGCGGCGGCAATCCGGCTGGCTTCGTAGATTGTTGCGCCAGTTTTTACCATTCTTCGCCACGCAGATCAGTCCTGTGCTAGCTCCTCCCAGGTCGCCGTGTTGAGATGGAGACGCTTCAGAGAGTGTCTTGGTAGCGCCTCTTTTGTCCTCCTTTGCGACGAGCAACTACCGCGACATCTCTGTAAAACAGTCGCTTGAGCAGTCGTTGATCGTCCATCCGTACTACGTGACCGCTGCAGCGCATTTGTATCTGCCTAAGCATGGCCTGGATGCTGTGGAATCCCCTTTTCACCAGAAATTCGGTGTCCGGGATCCTTTACTGTTATTGTATCTTCAGTATCCGGCGGAGACAGCTGAGATGGAAATGATTTAGCCTCCGAGATTGGTTGGCGTAGACGGTCCAAGTCTCCGCTCCGTACAAGAGTGTTGTGAGCACGACAGCCTTGTACATTTTCGGTTTCGTTGACAGTTGGAGACCGTGAAGATTCCATACGGAGGCTTGGAGCCGGCCGAAGGCTTGGCTGGCTTTGGAGATTTTGTGAACAACCTCGTCGTCGATTCGAGTGTTGCGGGATAGCGTGCTGCCGAAATAGGCTAAGTTGTCCACGTTTTTGCGCTCGACGCCGTTGACGTTGATGCATGGAGCATTGTAGTAAGCACCCGGCGGCGATTGGTGCATGACCATTGTTTTCTCCGTGTTGATGGTGAGACCGAAGCTTGCGCATCCTGCGGCGAATAGGTCCATAGTCTTTTGCATGTCCGCTTCGGTTCTAGTGTCAGAGCACAGTCGTCCGTGAACAGCAGGTCATGAACTGTAGTCGTGGAGACGCGCGTGGGGGCCTGCATTCGGCGAATGTTGAGAAGGTGTCCGTCTGTTCTGTAGGTGATGCGGATCCCGGGACGCTCGTCACGGTAGGCGTCCGTCAGAATGGCAGAGAACATGAGACTGAAGAGGTAGGCGCGAGGACACAACCCTACTTAACTCCATTGGTCACTACAAAGGCTTCAAACACCGTCCCGTAGTCCGTGACGCGCGCAATAATCCCGTTGTACAACTGAAGTGCCATACGGGTGAAGTGCTCCGGACAGCCGAACTTTTGCATGCCTTTCCGAAGTCCAGCACGATTCACCGTGTCGAACGCTTTCACGAAAGTGGTGAACAGGCAGGTGCACATCTCCTGGCACTTCTGCTGCAGCTGTCATGCGGGAAAGATCATGTCGGTGGTGCCGCGGTGACGGCGAAAACCACACTGGCTTTCCGGCGAGAGTCCTTGTTCGAGGTGGTTGTTGAGACGGTTCAGGAGAATCTGAGCGAAGATTTTGCCGGCAATGTTGAGCAGCGATATTCCGCGATGATTGTCACAGACCTGACAATCCCCTTGCGCTTGTAGAAAATGACAATTATGGCGTCCTTGAAGTCCTGGGCAAATTGGCCTTGTCGCCATATCTCATAGAAGATCGTAGTTAGGTGGGAGATGAGTTAGCCGGCATCGTATTTGTAAATCTCCGCGGGGATCGCATCAGAGCTGGGTGCTTTCCCACTTGAGGGTTTCTACACAGACTTGGCAGTTTCCTGGAGAGTAAGTGGGAAGTCGCTATCCATGCTGATGTCCACCTGAGGCAGACGATCAATGGCGACGTCGGAGATGATGAAAGGGCGGTTGAGTACGCCTTGGAATTTCTCGGCCCAGCGTTGCGGGATCTGTGCCTTCTCAGTGAGTGGGGTTGATCCATCAGCTCCGAGCAGAGGAGCTTTGCCTTTGAAAATGGGGCCGTAGACGACCTTGAGTGAAGTGAAAAAGTTCTTTCATTCGTTGCGGTGTGCGTAGCCTTGGATTTTCTCGCAATTGCGGGTCATCCAAGCATCCTGAAGTTCCCTCAGCCGCTGTT